ACACACACACACACACACACACACACACACATACAAACACACTAATACAAATAATGAAAATGACTGATACTAAGGCAATAAACAATAGATAAAATGATAAGCTTGGGATAGGATGGTCAAGGAAATCTCCTTGATAGAAAACCAAAATTAGATTCAGACTTGAGGATTCAGACAAAAAAATTAATAAAGGTCAAATAATACTTTATTGAAATATTATGCACACAGAGATATAATCCAATATGTACATTTGAAATATCTCATTGGGACTGTACTTTTATAGACTGTATTTATTTCATAAATTTTAACCACAGTAAAAACTGTATTAAAACAATGTCGGACTACACGTCTATATACCAGTCTTACTACAATTCATATTATTTCAAAGAATTACAATTTAAATATTGTTCTATAATCAAGATCATTCAATGCTGGCCTATTTTAATGGAAAATAATTTGAAACAAAATAATTTATGTTTTTCTATAGTAAAAAATGCCATCAGGAAAATTAATTATTTTTAGTTTGCGTGAGAAGCACTGTTGATTTTAATGGTATAGATAGGAGGCTGCTTCTCACCCCTCTGGATTTTTTTATTATTGCTGTAATTGTAACATTTTATATACAGGAAAACAATTTTCAGAGCTATTTTTCAAATAATACATAAAATAGTGTCTAACAATGGTTTCTATTTTTTAAAATTTCCAGTAGGCTACATTGACTGTTGGTCTCGTGTATAGCCAATGAAACTTACCAAGTGATAGGTCTGGGCCTTTAAAATGTTCAGATCAATAAAGTTTTCTTCATTATCCGTCTCCTCTTCCTTAGGAAAATTAAAAAAATTAAAATTATAAAAACATTATAATTTAAAGAATTATTTCCAGCTTTCACATAATATACTAAGCTTGATATAAAGACTAATTCTGCAAAGTGTATTTAAAAGCCTAATAAACACATGCATAAAGTAGGGTGAATATTATTAACAACTTATATGTTCTTTGAAGTTTTGATGGTGCTATTTAACAGGTTTTTTTTTTTTCCAGTCACTGAAAAAAGAAAAAGGGAGGCGAAGGAAAGGAGCCATGATGTTCAAACTATGGATAAACATAAAAATAGGAGAAAACAGCTCCAAGTAGCACTTCTGAAACAGACAGTGGAAAACATCTATGGAAAATTTTGAGCAACATGACTGCAAAGGACAAGAATGAAAGACTAGAGACACAAAACTCTCATTTGCTCCAGGGACTGATCACATTGATGATACTTTTTATAAGTCTTTTATGCTCGAACTTGATGAGGTAAATAATGGTTAGCAATACTAGTTAGTCTATGGCCCTTAAATCTATTTAAAAGCATAGGTCAGATGGATTCCATGCTGGTCCTGATCTATAAACCAAATGGATGAGGGGTGGGAGGAGTTGGATAATAAATGATTCTTTGAGAGGCAACCATCTACCTAACATACAGTAAATATGGAGACTGAGTAATTGCAGTCATAGGATCTTGTAAAAAACAAACCAATCAACAATGAGTATTAGTTAGTAAACACTTCCACTTGTAGAATCGTTCCACATTTCTTGGTACTACTATTCCCTGTGATTAGGTCAATAGGAAACAGAACAACTAAGTCTACGCAGGACTTCAGGTCCTAAGGAGTAAAGGTTTGGGTCACCCTAGCCAGCAGAACCACAGTTGATTCCAGTCCTTGCTAAAGGCAAAGAGAACATGGAATGGAAAGTGAAACAAGTAGTTATAAAGTTGCATTGTCATGACCATTTCCTCCTTATTTTGTTATGAATATATTTGTATGTAAATATTTAGCTTTCTTCTGTTTTATGGCTTTATCATGTAACATAAGATGTACTGAATTTATGTCCAATATGTATGTATATTAGTTTTACATCATAGTATTTAAGTTACATATAAAATGTCAAGAACATCTACCACTCAAGGTGGCTTCTTCTGGGGAAGTGGCTTCTTCTGGACATAGTACACTATGTCATATGCAGTATAAATGCATCAAATTAGAAAGAATTATGACTTTATTATTGTCTTTATTTACAAATTAGGTATGATTTAAGAAGATATATATGGTTGCCAAACTGCAAGAGGTGGACATGCGATCATTAATTTTGTGTTGATTTGGCACAGAATACCTAGATATTTGGATAAACATTATGCAGATTGTGTCTGTGAGGGTACTTGTGGATGAGATATTTGAATCAGTAAACTGACTAAGGTAGACTGTCCTTCTGAATGTGGGTAGGCCTCATTCAATCTATTAAAGGTATAGATTAGAAAAAAAAAGGCTAAGAGATAATGTACATCTTTGCTTATCTTTGAACCAGGACATAAGTCTTCTTTTGCCTTCAGATACAAATTGAAATTGACATCATCAGCTTGGCTCTCCTATTTGTAAGGCCTTCAGATTCTAACTGGAACTGTACTACCAGTTCTCTTGGGTCAATACCTTGCCAAATATAGATCTTACTAAGCCTCCATAACCATAGGAGCCAATTCTTTATAATAATTATCTCTCTATAAAGATGTGTATGTGTGTGCATCCCTGATTGGTTCTGTTTCTCTAGAGAAATCAGACTAATACAAAATCTTTTAAATTATTGAATATTATTAAGAGATCATTCAAAAGGAATTCTACTATAACCTGGCTTAGAAAAAAAGTTTTAAAATAAATTAAGATTCTCATCTCAGTAACTGAGAAGACACAACACTTTCCTACCATTTCTTTGAATTTCTAATTTGCACCTTTTAAATTCTCTTAGTACCAATTACTATGGATATGATTACTTACAGCAATTGAGTAATTACTTATAGCAATTCTGTGACATGACTAATACTTTAAAAAATTATCAATGTGTTCTATCTTATTTTGGTCAACATAAAAATGAAAGTTTCTAGTTTCTAAATAATTACAGCAGAACTCTGACTGTCCAAAATGATTCTCATCATCTTTTGGCCACCTAACAAACTCTGGCAACAGAATTAACATGTCAACCCTTAAAAGGCTGTTAAGCACTGAGGCAGGTCTCCATCTCAGAAAGGATGAGAGACATAAAAGATGGCCTCATAGAATAATATGATAAGGAAAAAGGGAAGAAAAAAAAATCAAGAGACATGACACAAGGAAACATAACTTAAGAGACAACCTCTCCAAGAAAGGCCTTTATTGAGTTCTTAGGATAGTAGAAGGTCCTTACCTCATGGTCGGGGAAAAAAAAAACATGTGTAAAGAGGCTGCCTTCTAATTTGTTTCTCTAAAATTATGCACCCAATAATGCTTTTAAAGAATTCCTAGAAAAAAATTAGCTGTAATTTCTAAAGTTAAACAGCCACATGCTAATAGGTTTTATGGTCAAATATTTAATGCAAACCTATTATGCACTAGGCCTTGCACAATAAACTGGAGGTATAACAATGAGCTAAACTAGAAACGGTTTCTGCTCCAAGAGAGTAAGGAGTTTTTTTTCTCTCTCTCTCTCAATTAGTACTTTTGAGTTACGTGTCTTTGAAGTTAGGATCAGGTATTTGTTGATAAACTTAATAATATAATTATTAAGGAGGCAAGATGAGAGAAATATCAGAGTAAAATACATGAGGTGAAAAACTGCGAATATGTAAGGACTTAATTTCTGAGCTTGAATGGAAAAATTCACTGTATAGAAAATAAAGTCTAAACTTCTTAAAATGTCCAAAATATTTTGGACTTGCTCTGTCTTCTCAGGTATTCTTAAGACACCCTCCCTCTCAGTCCCTTGATCATGCCAAGCTCCTTCCTGCATGAGTTCTTGCACTAGCTGTACCCCCATGGCCTTACTCACTGCCAGCTATGTAACGACACTTCAGAAATACATGCACAATGAAGAGGTAAATTTTCCCTTGGCTTTTAAGTTTTATTATTTTAAAATATATTTTTTAAATGGACTGATTTTACAATGGGTTCTTTCCTTCTCTAAGTAGCAGAGTCATCTTTTTATATAGTTGAAAATGCTTATTTATACTGTTGATAAAATACATGTCAAAAGGGCTGGGGATATAGCTCAGTGGCAGAGTATTTGCCTAGCAAACCTGACACTCTGGGTTCAGTCCCCAGCACATACACAAAAAAGTAAAAATAAAAAAAAATACATATATACATGTTAAAATTTTGAAAACAAAGAACTACTGAAAAGAATCATCCACATCTTTACCCATTTATAACTAATATTAACATATTCAATTTTTAGACATTTTATATTGTTGAGATCACAATGACATAAAATTTACAATCTTTTCTCAGTCAATTTTATAACATATAGTATTAGTTATAACTCATGTCACTAATGTGTCTTTGTAAACAATTTTTAATGGCAATGTAATATTCTATTTGGATACAGTCTAACTTATTTTATACAGTCTAACTCATTTAATATTAGAATTAATTCAGTGATTAACACCTTTGTGGTACATATTAACTTATTTAAGCTGAAATACAGAGTATATTTACTGTCTATTGATTTTAAAAAGTCATCTAAAAACTTTAATTGGTTGATGACAGCAAAATACCAAAGTTGTTTTTTCCACTATTTCTGTATACATGTATACTTTCTACAACATTATGGTCAATCTATTTCTAGTTCTGAGAAAGAATTATAAATCCATTTCTAGTTACGAGAAAAAAAATTACCTTGAGAAAAAAAATCTTGTCTCTATCATCTCAGCTAGCTGAATCTGTTTAGGAAGTTGATTATTTAGCTTCTAATGAAATGTTAAACATGGAAGAACGTGCAGATGCTCCTAAACACCCTAAATACTGCTGGTTATTTAGAAGCATTTTAAAAGTTTGTATAGGGTAATAGTCATCCTAATTTGAGAAACATAAAGGAATTCCTAAGAAATGAACGGTAATCTTCTGAGGCAGAATGTATTAATCATAAATTCTGTTCTTCGGTTTTAAATTCTTTGTTAGTCAGTCTATTCAAAATCATGAGTGGTGGTTAATAAAATATTTATTTACTCATATAGTGATTATACACCCTTTTATAGTTTAAGAATGTCTGCTAAAATTCATTAGAGAACTCGAACATGATCTTAATCAAAGATCTAAATCACTGATACTTGGCATGGTATTTAAAAGCTTTTCTCCTCTAGAAACAATGAAATAAAATACATTACAGAAAATGAAAGTACGAGGGAATTAAGAAAAGGAATTCAAAGGTGAAAATGAAAGAAAGTTCAGCTAACACACATACCACGAATTCTTCATCCACTTTATTTAATGTTAATTCTGCATCATCTTCTGGAACAGCTTCTTCTTCTACTTCTTCCACTGGGTATGATGGCCTAAAATAGTAAGACTTACTATGAGAGCTTAAAAAATTTAGTAAGACAAAAGTACAATGGAAATAATAACATCTCTTTTTGCTCTCCTATAATCTGTTAAATGTTTCGTGTATTCTTCTGAAACTTGCTGTGTAAAAAGAATAAAAATCATGTCCAAAAATGACACTGTATTGTCATCCAATCTACACTCCTCACTTATGAATATAACACATTTAAATAAATATACATTTGTCCCATGCTTTTACATCCCTGTACTATATTCCATTCAGCAGCTGTACACCGTTAAAGTGTCAGTCTATGCTAAACATGGAGTTGTTTCTAGATTTTTCCTAAACAATATTGCAAGGATCATCTTTGCACCTTTATCTTTATGTATATCATTTAGAATCCATTTGTACAAATGGAATCAACAACTTTGCACATGTTACTGTTTAGCTACATATTGTCAAAATTGGCTTCCATGATGTTTCTCTAATTTACATTCCCAACAGTAATGAAAAACAGTGCCTCTATTTCCATTCATTCAATATGTTTTCTTCTTTGGTTTTTCATAAATTAAGAATGTTAATACTTTGCTTGACCTATACTGAAAATATCTTCCCTAGTTTAGTACTTATAATCTCGGCAATCAAAGACTATTACAGTTTTTATTATATAGACTCGGCAACTTTTCTTTGTACAGACCCTAGATTAAACATCATACATATTATACAGCTTTCCTTCATACTACATTACCTATACCCATCTGGTCTTAGTATTTCTATAGTTTTATTTTTCACATTTACATCTTTGATCAATCTGAAGTTTATTTTTACATACAAAATGAATTTTTGTTTTTATTTCCAAAACCTATTAGTGGTCTGAACACTAATTACTGAATAATCATTTCTCCATAAAGATCAATGCCATATATTTCTCATACTATAAACACCTAAATGTATTTGGGTTTATTTATGGCAATTTATTTGGCAAATCCATACCTAAATGTGTTACCAAAACTAATACACTATGAGGGAAGAAAAGCCCTGTGAACCAAATCAATCTTCTTAAAAGATAAATTTCCTAAATTTTCATTAATTAAAATTAGATAATACTGCAAAAGTAATGTTCTTCTAGGGTACTTGGGACATTTAGATACAAACATTACCATCTATAAGTACATAAATATGTAACTTCTATGTAATTACATAGCTGATATATTCTCTAATTATATAGCTAATATATTCTTTTTAACTTTCCTCCTTTATTCTTCCTCATGTATATAGTTCCTATAAATTATCCAAGTCACACTAGTGCAACCACTATGGAAATCAATATGGAGATACCTCAAAGAGCTTGGACTGGAGGTTCCATTTACCCAGCCATCCCTCTGCTGGGTATCTTTCCAAAAGAACTAAAAGAATCATATCACAGAGAAGTATGTGCACCCATGTTTATAGCGGCACAGTTTGTAATAGCTAAATCTTGGAAACAGCCTATTTGCCCATCCGTTGGAAACTGGATAAAGAAGTTGTGGTTTTTCTATAAAATGGAATATTACTCAGCCATAAAGAGCGAGAGAATAGATTCATTCATAGGAAAATGGATACATATTGAAGATATACTCCTAAGTGAAATAAATAAGTCACACATGTGTAAATACCAAATAGTTTCCCTGGTGT